GGCGGGTGTCGGGCGGCGGGGGTCCGGGGCGGGGGTCAGCGGGGGTGCGGGTGTCGGGGGCGGGGGTGTGGGTGTCCGGGGCTCGGGTGGCAGGGGTGGGGCGATCGCAGGGCTGCACAACGGGTCCCGGGGGTCAACGGGCCCCGCCGCGTGGGTCCGGGGGTCGCCTCCCCACCCCGGCTTCCGCCGCGGGGTGCCCCGGGTGACAACCTTGGCGCCTGTATCAGTGGTGATATTTGAAGAAGACAATGTTTTTTTTTTTGTAGACGGCCACAACTTGTGAGTTGTGTGGCCGATCTTTTTGAAGAGAATTACTTGGCTTTTTTTGAGTGAGTCATTGTCAACTTCACTCAAGGTCAGTTGTGACTCAGTTTCCCTTACACACCTGTGTGAACCCACACCTTGCATGACCTTGCTTTGGATTCAGGGAAAAGGTAGAGTAAGATGTGTGACGTTATGCATGTGGGAAAAGGGGGCTGACTTTGGTTGGGATATGGATGAATTTTGGGTTGTTTCTATTGTTATTGTGCAGGTAGGTAAATGATGTATGTGAGAAGGGAACGACACTATGCTTGCTCAAGGAATGATGGAAATTATTATACTTCTTCCACTCTTTACCTGTCTGCATGTCAGAAGAAGAACATAGTGAAACAGAGGATTTGACGGGTGCCCGAAAAAACGGAATTCGTAGAAGATGAAGATGAAGATAAGAAAGTAATTTAATATTTTGCCAAGGAACATCCCATCCTATCCCGAATGATCATTTCTTCTTGTAACCGTCCAAAAAGAGCCTTACTTCTCTCTTGAACTATTTTCTGATTCGTCTAAGTCAACCCTCAGTAAAAATGTCTACACCTAAAGATTGAGACTTCTTCTCTCTAGAAAGCATCTGGGGCAGGGGTTCGTTGCTCTGGGAGTCAGCCCTGTTATTGACCTAGAGTGGACCGTACTACGGGGGACTACTATTATGTTGTATCGCGGTGGATCCAACCCAACTTCTGAGACCTAAACAATGTGTTCGGGCGAGGAGGAGGGGTATTCCAGACCACTTCCTAGAGGGTAGAGCGTCTCGTAAGTTAAGTGTAGTCACTTTTCTCATGCTTTCAAGTAGGGGAAGGTTGAATTTAGCCCTTCTTTTTTTTGGGTGGCCGTCTTAGGCGCCACCAACGTATGGGGAACCGGTGCCGAAAGAAACTCAGTTCATGTGTCAAATAGTGTTAAAGAAGTTCGTGACACAAGAATCACAGCCCGGGAAGGGAAAAAGAGTTTGAGTATAGAGATTGATATATATAAATTTATTTTGATAGAGTTATTATTTTGTCATTCAGTTGTCTACAGGAGCGGTGATTATTCGATTGTTTAGTACGCACGAAGCGGCAATAGATTGGATAGCAGTGCCGACACGTTCATGTGCCGTTATAATACGGAAAGGACGATTGGTTTACAACCCGCATGAAGTTTTTCTAGAGCGAGATAAGTCGTATTTTTGGGATGGAAGCGTGAGGAATCCACCGCGAAGTTATATTTTTATGACAGAGCTTGGACAACGTATCGTGCAATATAAATTTGCACCTCCTAATCCATCACGAGATTATGGAGACGTCAATCTCGTCGTAGTTCACGAAGCGAATCCAGGTATAGAAGACACTCTTGAGATTAAAGGGATATTTCTTTATATTGTGCTATGGCTTAATAATCAGCAAGGTCCTTTCAGTCTCCTTCATCATGTGAGACGGATACGAGCGAATAGATTTAATATTTTTCGCACTAAACGTTTTGACGCCATCGCATTTGATGATGAAGCTTGTGAGATCTGGGAACGTCTCTTTAACGGACGATTCCTTTGGACGTGTAGATAATTAGCGGAAGGAGGGATGTCACTCAGGCAAGATATCTGCTAGTTCGCAACATAGTAGATGAGGAGCTGATTAGGCGTGCAGAACGACTTTTACTTATTCAGAATGATGCACCCACTCGTT